CGAAAGTGATCCCAGCACGGAGCGTGACCATGTAGTGTGCAAACGCTGGGCGGAGTGTGATAGTTTAGGCAAGTAGGGGAGGAAGGCATTGCTGTGTCTTATTCCAGCCATTTTTGCAAGGGGTTGCTTTGTGGTCAAGGTGCTGTTGGTTAGATCTAAGAGCAAGCCTGGGTGAACACGAGGCTTTGAACAGGGCAAGCAGCAACCAGGTTAGGGTAGGACAAGACTCCTCCGACTCCGACTCCCGCCCCGGCTAAGTCCACTAGGCAGTTAAAAAATGGCAGTGGAGTGGTATGCCCCTCCTGTCAGATGTGGGAGATCAGGGAGCAATCAACTGTCCCGGGTGACGATGTCTGAAGGAAGTGTGTCTGGCTGCAGCTCCTCTCAGACCACATGGATCGGCTGGAGTAGCAGTTGGAAGCACTGAGGAGCGTGACATAGTAGCTTCAGCTAGGTGTCACACCACAGTTAGTCAGGTAGAAGGGTGACGGCCAGGAGAGATAGGCAGTTAGTACAGGAGTCTCCTGTGGCTATCACTCTCTCAAACAAGTATGCTGTTTCTGGATGCCATTTGTGGTGGTTGGGCAGGCAGTGGTGGTGAAGGGAACAGAGATAGCCTCTTAGGGGAAAACAGCATCAGCTGCCAGGTCTTTGGCACCACAACTGTCTCTGCTGTAAAGCATGGTTTGAAGTCCAAGCAAACAATTGTGAAAGAGGACTCTCTAGTCAGGGGCAGACAGGCATTTCTGCAGCCACGAGACTCCAGGGTGGCGTGCTGCCTCCCTGATCCCAGGACCAAGGACGCCTTGGAGCGGCTGCAGCAAGGAGAGCGTAAGCAGCTGGATGTCATTGTACATATTTACCAATGACATCAGCAGAAAAAGGGACGAGGTCCTGCAGAGTGAATATAGGGAGTTAGGCATGAGATTAAAAAGCAGGACCTCAAGGGATTGGGCCCAGTGCCACATGCTAGTTGACAGTAGGAATAGGAGGATAGGGCGACGAATGTATAGCAAAGGAGCTGGTGCAGGGTCAAGGGTTCAGATTTTTGGATCACTGCAATATCTTCTGGGGCAGAAGTGACCCCCCACACAAGAGGGAAAGGTTCCACCTGAACTGAAGGAGGACCAATATCCTGGCAGAGAGATTTGCTAGAGCCACTCGAGAGGGTTTAAAACTAGTCTGGCAGGAGTATGGGACCCTAAGCAGTTGTGAAACAAGAGAGAAGATTGAAACTTGTATAGAAGTTAAAGAAAGGAATTTAAATAGACAAAACAGGCAATAGCACAACAGAGAATGAGGGAAGACAAATAAATTAAACTGCATTTATTTCAATGGAAGAGAATAATACTGAAATTGACCTTCTCCCAATTTAGACACCACTTCTACACTATTCTTATCCTTTTCCATGATGATCACTATCCCCAAAAAGCCTGACCACAAACTTCAACCACTTGACCTAGTGGTAGGTCTAGAACTGCCTCATCTCTAGTCAAACCATCTACGTACTGGCACAAAAAAAACTCTCCTGGATGCACTTTAAAAATTCCATCCCGTTTAATCCATCCAGACTAAGGTGATCTCAGCTAATGTTAGCACAGCTGAAGACCTGTACAACTATAACCCTTCTTCTTTCACACCTTTCTGTGATTTGCCTACATGTCTGCTCCTGTCTCCCCACAACTGTTGGGAGTTCTGTAATATAATCCCAGCAAGATAATCGCTCCATTTTTATTTTTAAGCTTTATTTGAAGACGCTTCCAGGACATCCTCCCTCATGACTGCAGTGATGATTTCCTTTATCAATAAGGAAATGCGCCCATCTCTTACACACACCTGTTATCTGTTATGGAGAGAGTGCAGGAAAGAGGAGTGAGGCCAAGATCAGATCGGCCACAAATTTTAATCGAATGGCAGAGGAGGCTCGAGGGGGGCAAATTACCTACTCCCCTTTGTTCTTATGCAGTGTTCCACATGAACTTTTTCTAGGGTAACCTTTTATTCCAATCTCCTTGGTTTCTAGCTTTCCTTTCTATGCATTTATACACTGCCTCAATTTGTTTCACATTTCAATGTTACTAATGAAAGTCAATTTGGAATGCCATATTGACTTTATTGGTGACCATCATTATTTATTAGCCTCAGGTTTGGTCTCAAACCTTTTCATAACCTTAAGACCCTCACCATCTCTTGGTCATCTCTTTTCTAGGGAAAAGACCATCTGTTCAGTCTTTTCTAGTAGGTACAAACTCCTGGTTCTCGTATCAGCTTTGAATTTTTTTTTTTTAAAAACATCTTCTTCCAAAGCCTCTATAACATTTTATTAAGTCCAGAATTGCACACAGTCCTAAGAGGCCTTCTATATGATTAACACAAGAACAGATTTTCCAGTTTCATCCCTAATGAACCACACTGCTTTGCTAATGGTCTTTGGCCTAACTAACCAGTTTTGTGTATCTGTACGTATATTGCATTTTTGCCTTGTTATGTTTAGATACCTATGTTTAAGATGGTTTCCTCATTCCTGCTACCATAATAGGCTCTTAAATATAACTATATTGAAAATTAAATTTGTTCATTGCACTTCCAATTTGGACGTTTATCTTGTAATTTGTCACTATTTACTTCAGCATTGACTATACCTCATATTCGACTGTACCCATATATTGAAATTAGATCTGATTCCCAAGTCCAAATTATTTGTCAATAGTGAACTGTGCCTATTGATCACCACTTTCTACCTTCATCAAGCTGAGGAACTATAAACATTTATTTTCTTTGTAGCCAGTTTACTATCCATGTTGCTACTTGTGCCCTGATTCCACATGCTCCAACCTTAACCTTGAGTCCACTATGAGATACCATATTGAAGACCATTATCTGTTTTTTCACTCATACTTTAAGTTGCCAATAAAATCATTCCAACAGGACTTTGTTGAAGTACTCCTTATCCTTTGCCATAATTTTAATTTCTAAATCTATCCCATTATATCTTTTCTAACACTAACATTAAGGTAATTGGTCTATAGATTCTTGAACTAGTCCTGTACCTGTCTTAAATATAGGCACATGCTATAGTACTTTGGCCTATTTAATTTTTTTAATACATACAACAGCATCCCAGATAGCTTGCCTAGTTTCTTTCTATATTCACAATTCACTCAGACTTTAAGCTGATAAGTTCAGTCAAAAGTTATCAATAACCTTCCCCATTTCCAAATTAAAATGTGATCCTTTGATCTCTCCCAAAGCCACTTCCACTTTTATTTTCCCCGATAAATACATCAGCAAACTAAACATTCAATATTTCAGTGATTTTGCTGCAATTACCCGTGAACTTGCCTTGTGTATCATTTAGTGCTTTGTTTTTTATTATTTTATCATTTATATTTGTAGAACAATATTTTAATTCATTTTCAGTTCCTCTTTGCATTCAGAACACCGTCCTTGGACTCCTTTCCTAACATTTTTGTGTTCGCTTTTGTTTCCTGTATGCAAGTGTCAGTTGGCAGCACGCTCCTCTCAGAGTCACAAAGTTCCAGATTAAAGTCCCACTTCAAGCACATGAAGCAAGGCTGATGCTCCAGTGCAAGACTGAGAAAGTGCTGCACTGTCAGAGGTGCAGTCTGTTGAATGAAATTTTAAACTCAGGCTGGGTGGATGTGAAATATCCCATAGCACTATTTCACAGAAGAGCAGTTATCCCCAGTGTCCTTGCCAATGTATATCCCCAGTGTCCTAGCCAATGTATATCCCAAGTCAACATCACAGAAACAAATAATCTGCCCATTATCACCTTTCTGCTTGTGTATGTGTGTACAAATTAGCTGACATTTCATAATTTACAACTGCATCTACGCCTCAAAAAGCACAAGGGACTTTCATTCATCCCAATGGTCATAAAAGCATGTAAATAAAAAGACAGACAAGTATTTAGGGCATACCCTTTGCTTTAGCTTCAATTTTGCCCTAATCTTTTTATTCATCTGATGTCACATTCTTGGTTAGTTTGTTCTTTTCTCATTTCTGAATGAAATGCAGTCCTTCGAATACACTTCATCACTTCCCAAGTGCCATCTTTAGCTTTTCCCCCCGCAACTTATTTTGGTCATTATCTTATCTATGCCCTTCTCAAGGCAAAGTTTAAAACATTATTTTATTGTTGTTTAGATATTTCCCTTATTTGCAATGGTTCTTTTCCCATGATTAGATTCCTTTTTATAGTTTCCTTACATTTTGCCTTAGTCCCATACACAATTTTAAAAAAAAAACTCAATTTTCTTTCCTATTTACTTGATTAAATCTCATCCAGTATTTAAATGCTTCCATCAACTCATTCATTGCCATTTTTCTAACCTTCTCCAGCAATCACCCATACTTTAAGTGAGACAGTGGCATAGCAGCAATATTAATAGACTAGTAATCCACAAGTCCAGGTTAGTTCTCGGGCGTTAGATTTCAGATTCAAACCAAAGCTTGTCTCAATGGTGACAATGACAACTATCAGCAAATTGTTGTAAAACCCTTCAGGGGAAGGAGTTTGCCAACCTTTCATAGAACTCCAGATTCACTTCAAGATGGTCAACTTAACTGCTCTTTGAAGTGGTCAAGCAAGGTACTCAGTTTAAGGGTAACTGGAGAGGGGCAACAAATGCTGACACTTACACCCTATGTAAGAATAAAGATGTCAGCTCCTGACTCCAGACGATGGTGCACATCACCTTCCCTTTGCTTCACCACTGGCAACTGTGCACACTGCCATCTGCACCACATTTTCTGGAGCTTCATCTGTCATGATCAAGTTTCTCCACTTTTGTCTCTTTCCTTACACCACCTCCAAAGCACCTGACCAAGCTTTTGGTCAACGCTTCTAAAATTTCTTATGGCTCAAAAATTTTCAACATTTAAAAATATCAAACACTTCAAAAAAAAAAAAAAAAAATTCAGTTCTACTCCCCCAAATGCACTAAAGCTTGCACTGAAAGCTTTACCACGCATACCTTGCTAGATCCTATGTTGTGGTACTTGTTTTCTAACAGTCTTTTTACTGGTTCTTCCTCCTTAAACGTGATGAAGCAGAAACCTCTCCGTTCATTTGTCTTGTTGTCAATGGGAAGTTCAATGCCTTCAATCTACAAACAAAAATACAATTCAGGTATCAATTTACATCTGACTGTTCAGTTCACTACTGAATGAAACTGTAAACTACCAAATATTTAACATTCTAATATAAAAAGAAATCAAGAAAAATGTAGTGATTTAGTGCTCAAAAAAGTTGAATAATAAAATAATTCTGATCAAGTTTTAAAAAGGGGGACATTTCCTCCCAACTTCATGAGAAAATTGGGTACCCTTCCTTTCAAACCCAAAACTTAAATTTTACTCAAAATACATGAGACAGGAAACAAAACGTCAATATTTACAGTGAACAAACTTGGTCAACAGCTTCTCAATGCATTTTAATGAATAGAATATATAGATTATGACAAACAAATACCTATGTATGTGTTAAAGAAGCATATGCCTCATGTCAGCAGTTTCTCCTGGTCACAGTTTGTGTTTTTTGACAGGTCATAAAAAATAGAAGTTGACTAAATCAAAAACTCTTTCTGACAAAGATTACGATTTGCAACTCACTTCTCCATATGCTCCAAAGTAGTCCTTTACCATTTCTTCTGGTACATCAGGACTTAGGCCTCCAACAAAAACTTTCTTAGCTGGTTCTTTGCCTTTTATTGCCTTTGCTCTTTTAGGGTCAATGAGCCGTCCGTCCAGCTTGTGTTCCTTCAGTTCCAAGACCTGAAAGAATGTAAGAACAGTTTCTGTGCTAAAACTACAATTTTCAGAGACTACGCACACTTGTTCAATGTCACAAATAATAAACAACTCTGAAATTTACTTAAAAACTCATTTGTTATTACAAATGCTAAAAACAAAGTATAGAGGGAAAATGAAGTCTTGACCTCTGAAGTTCAACCATTTTGTTTAAGTCCCAGTTCTGAGTTCAGTGCTGACTTGTCGACAGCAACACAAGCAGAAAAACTGACGGTGTTACTCCTCCCAGCTCCAAGAGGATCATGATCAAGGAGTCTTATGAAATTTAACATTTTTAGTTGTAGACCAAATTAAACTATATGGTAGATTTACACTTAAAATTGTACCCAATTATGTCAAAGAGAACAAAAATAGTCCTCTTAACAAAAAATTGCTGGTGCCATAAGTTATGAAGATATACAAACTTCTGCTATAATGGTCAAATTTAAATGCACAGGAGAAGCTCCTACCTCAATCCAAAATTTTTTCCCAGCGGGGATCAATAACAAAAAGCACATTTGTGTACTTAAAATGATCACATCCGCTCTTTACTCACCTAGCTTCCTGCCAATTAGAGTCATGACCTGGGGTGAAAAGCAGAGGTCAGTGCCACAAGAACACAAACTGCACGCTTCTTGGTATCATTCCCTGCTGACAACAAATATCTTCAAAAATGGATTGAGTTTTGAACAAATTTTGTTTTACAAGTATTCTATACTTCATAATGCATAACATGGAAAAGGATTTAGGTATAAAATCACTACACTAGAATTCATTTGAAGTAGTGTTCTCCAAATGAATATACAGAGCCAGTTTTCTGCAAGCTAAGTCTTGCGGTCATTATCAAAAACTATTATTGAAAGCTGTTTATAAATATGTCCATCCATTTATGGATTACCCCCCCACCCCCCAAAATGGGTTACACTATTTGAGGTTACATATAAAAGGTGCTGAATTAAATAGCAGACTAGTAGCACATCTGAACTAGGACATTAGAAATACTGATGAAAGTAAATTACTGATTTGACACCAAAAAGGAAAACCAAATTATATAGCTTAGCAATGTTCTTTCCTAAAGATTACAATTGGATACTTAGATTTTTAAAGAATTGACACCCATTTGCAACATGCTTTGGTTAACATTTCTCAATACAACTTTCATCCAAAGGCACACACACACATTTTGATGTAAATTTATAATAGGGCTGAGAGTTGATTTACCCTGTCCACGCTTGCAGGTTCTCTGAATAGTACAAAACCAAATCCTCTTGACCGCCCCGTCACCGCATCCATCTTTATGGTACAGTCCACTACTTCACCGAACCTGGACAAGTAATCTGTCAAATCCTTCTTGCTTGTATCCCAGCTAAGACCCCCAATGAACATTTTTCTGTGAACAATAATATGCATATGGTGACCCTGGCAATTCATTATTTATAATTAAATAAATATCAATACAAATCAAAAAGTTAAACAATAAGTTGTCTAAGTGCTTTCAACAGCTGACCATGTATTTTGGATAGGCTACTTACTTCCATATTTGTTGAACACAGGGTTTTATTTTGAAAAATAATTAACATCATAAAATGCAATTCCTCTGTTGGATTTTGCCACCAAAATATTTCCCCAAAATTAAAATCAAGGAAAAATATTTTTAAAAAATAACCAACATCCAATACATCACACTGCAGTAATTCATCAATCTTAATCTTAACAAGATTAAAGAATCCAGATTTCCCAAGAAGACTCATTGCTTCTGCCTATTCCTGTCCAATTAGCTGTCTTCTTTGTTACTTGGTTCTCTTCCCTTATTCAGCATCTAACCACTTGGATCAGTTATCCTTCCTTCACTTTAAAGTTTTCTTGTTCCTTGGCCACAATACACTATTCAAATGCAATCCACTGACACTTGCACATCCATCTGAGACAAAGGAGTCGCTACCTTTTCCTTGAACAGAGGTCTGAACAATCTCCACCCATCCATCCACCCACCACTTTCTACTTGGTTGAATTTGTTCTCATTAAACAAAATCACCTTATAAGTCACCTCATTTGTCCCCACCCCTGGATCAACAGATCCAGGTTCAAGTCTCATTTACTCCAGAGATGTGGAATAACATTTTGAGCAGGCTGATTAGGAAAATAGGTTAAATAAAAGAAACATAAGTTGCCTCATTTCCTGCTCCTGCCCTTAAGAGTAAAATGTCATCAACTTTCTTTCCAATCGACTTTTCCTTCAATCGCCACATGATTAGAATCAAAGTCTCTACAGTGCGGAAAGGAGGACATTTGGTCCATTGAGTCTGCATTGACCCTCCAAAGAGCATCCCACCCAGACCGAGCCCCATCCCCATCCCAGTAACTCCACATTTACTATGGCTAATCCACCAAACCTGTACATGTTTGCACTGTAGGAGGAAACCGGAGCACACGGCAGACACCTATGCAGACATGGGGAGAACGTGCAAACTCAACACAGGCAGTCACCCAAAAATGGAATCAAACCCAGGTCCCATGGCACTAAGGCAGCACAGCGAACCATTGAGCCATCACACCACTCGAATATTCATTTCTGACTTTAAGCTTCCCTCTATTTCAGAAGGTGGACTATCCGCTAACTGACAATAATGGACACCAATTACCTTCATCACATTTTTTCGCACTCAATTTCCTCCCAGTTTTTCATTTTTCACTCCAACAACTTTTTGGAACATGCAATTTTCACACTACTACTGTAATGTTTCTTTCCCGGTAACTGAGGATTCCTTCCATCTTTTAAAAGAGCCCTTGACCACATTCATTCTTTTTAATGAAATTCTGCTCCCAGTATTTCCCCTCTCTCTGAACCACAATAGAGCTCCCCTTATACTCATCCTATAGCCAACTAACTTATTTTTCAACACCAGATCATCACTGCTATTTCCAAAGACAACTACCACTCCATCCCCACCCACATTTTGGTAAATCAGACCATAAGGCTGTGTTCATTCTCCTGGCTTATAAGCATGAAGATCTGGTACGTAAAGACACATGGTGTTTGTTTAGTGCTGAGGTCTTACAAAGCTGTTTGAAGTCAGTGGACTGGTCCATATTAAGAATTCAGCAGCCAACCTAAATGAGTCTGCCACTGTGTCACAGACTTCTTCAGTAAGTGTGTAGAGGATTGCATGCTAATTCCAGAAACCATGGATGAACTGGGAGATCCAATCCCTACTGAAGTCCAGGTCTGAGGCATTCAAGTCAGGTGACCCTAACCTATACAGGAAATCTAGATATGATCTTTGCAAACTAAGAGGCATTACCAGACCAAATTAGAGTCCCAGACTAAACACACATCAACTATGGCAAGGCTTACATGATATAATGAACTACAAAGCCAAGTCAAATAGAATCAATGACAACAGTGCATCCCTCCCCAATGATCTCAACACATTCTATGCTCGTTTTGATCAGACGGTCAGTGAAATGATGTCACCTGCCCAGACAGCCTCAGACGCACCTGTACTCAGTCACTGCTGCAGATGTCAGATTGGCCTTCTTGAGGGTGAACCCATGGAAAGCGACTGGCTCGAATGGAGTCCCCAGCTGTGCACTCAGATCCTGCGAGGACCCGCTGGCGGGAGTATTCACAAACATCAGTAACCTCTCCCTAACGTGATGTGAGGTTCCCACCTGCTTCAAGAAGACCACTATCATCCCAGAGCCAACATGCCTTAAATTAGTACCACCTGGTGGCCCTGACATCCACCATTATGAAGTGCTTTGAAAGGCCAGTAATGGTACACCAACATCAGCCTCCCAGGCTGGCTCGATCCACTACAATTTGTCTACCATTGCAACTGGTCCACAGTGGATGCCATCTTCCTGGCTCTACACTCATCCCTAGAACATCTGAATAACAAGGAAACCTACGTCAGACTTCCAATTATGAACTTTACCCAACCTTCAATACCATATTTCCAACCAAACTAGTCTCCAAACTCCGCACCACCCTCTACAACTGGATCCTCGACTTCCTGATCTGCAAACTGCAATTGGTAATGATAGGCGACAACACCTCCTCAAGGACAAGAATCAACACCAGTGCCCTGAATGGCTGCATACTCAGCTTCTTACCTCTACCCTTTATACACTCATGACTGTGGCCAGATTAAGCTCCAACTCCACTTACAAATTTGTGGGTTGGTTCTCGAAAGAGTTCAGTAAAGAGATAGACAACTTAGTGGCAGACTGTAAAGACAACGATCTCTCCCTCAATGGCAGCAAAATTAAAAAAGAGCTCGACACTGACTTCAGAAAGCAGAGTGGAGGACCTGCCCGTCTGCACCAATGGTGCTGAGGTGGAGATGATCGAGAACTTCAAATAGCTAGGATTAAATATCACCAATCTATCCTGCTCCATCCACATCAACATTAGTCAAGAAAACACACTACTTCCTCAGGAGGAGGAGGAAACTCAGCATGCCCACAATGACCCTCGCCCAATTTTTACAGACACACCGTAGAAAGCATCCTACTCAGATGCATCACAGCCTGGTTTAGCAACTGCTCTGCCAAGACCGCAAGACACTAGAGAGTTGTAAATGCAACCCACTTCATCACGAAAACCAGCCTTCCTTCCACTGACTCTATCTGTACTTCCCTCTGCCCCAGGAAAGCAGCCAACATAATCAAAGACCCCTCCCAACCCAGTTATACTCTCTTTCATCAGACAAAAGATACAAAGGTTTGAAAACACATACCAACAGATTCAAGAACAACTTCTTCCCCACTGTTACCAGACTTAGGAACAAAACTCTTGCATTCAAGTTGATTTTTCTCTGCACCTTCTCTGTAGCTGTAAAATTGTATTTTGCATTCTGTTCTAAAGTAAGTTACTTAAGTAAGGTATGATTTGTCTGGATAGCACACAAAACAATATTTTTCGCTGTACCTTGATACATTTGACAATATTAAATCAAATCCACTTCCGACTTCAGCCTCAGGGCAATTCCCTCCATTAACAGCCTAGGCTGCTCTTTCAACCCCAACAACTCCTCCTTTTCCATGCAGGTGCAGGCGATCCAAATCCTACTCTTTCAGTCCTCTCATCTCAAACTTCCAACTCTCCATACAATCCTTCTAGGAAACAGCCACTTGGTTGCACCGATTTCAATTTAATGCACTGTGCTGGCTGCTCACAACGTGGTCTCCTGTACATCAATATAACCAAATACAGTCTGGGTGACTACTTTGTGGATTACTTCCATTCAGTCTGTAAGCATTTAAGTTTCAAGTCACCAGTTGTTTGAATTCTCCACCTTGCTCCTGCTGATACTACTTGTACTCTGTCTGCTGCAGCATTCCAGTGAAGCTCAATGCACAAGTCAAGGAACAAAGTCTTTTAACTGTTAGAGCATGTTAGAGCATTCTGATTATAAGTAAGTGAATTCAAAAATTTTAGATTATAACCACTACCCCATCTTGATTTGTTTCTTTGCCAATTTATGTTTTTCTCATTTCTCCATTTTGTTTTGCATTTCAAACTAGCTACCTCAGCACTGACATCTTCTATACATTTATTTGGTTTCTTCATTAATTGCATTACCCCTTTATTTTGCTTTGTACTATGAAACCTTTTTTGCCCTCTAATATATCACAGACCTCTCATTTTGTTCTTACCACCAGACCCTCAATTTTCCTAATTTTGGCGAAAGGTCAAAGGCCTGAAACTCTACATTGATTTGAATATTGAGTTTTAGCAACATTTCATATTTGTGTTCTGGAAACCGTGGCCAATTTAGGAACGAAAAAGGTAGGCCATACTTTATCGGCTTGTTAGTACACTTCTTGCAGCGTTAAGCGGGAGGAGAGGGAAGGGGAAAGAGAAAGAGAAAGAGAAAGAGAAGGGAGGCACTGCTTAAAGATACAGATGGAAGTAACTAGAGACAGACAGTCGTAGTGAAACTAGGTCACATACACAGCCCGCCGTCACTTTGCCACGTTGTTGAACCAAACATAAACAACAGAGAAAAGGGAGAGCCCGCAATAACAAGAGTTTAAGAAAATACAGAATGAAGAAGCGGGCAATCCCCGGCCGGTGTATCCACGGCAAGTTTAGAGAGGCGGGGCGTGTGGGCCAAACACGCGCTCCTGGCCCAGGGCACGCGCAGCACCAGCAGCTGCACCCCCCCCACCCCCGGGGGAGAGGGGGGTAGACTCTCCCGCCCGGGGGCTAACGGGTCCCTGTCCCGATGGTAAGGGGCTGTTTTCCCTCCCTCTCCCCGGGGTGCGGCCCGTCCTCCTGCTCGCTCACCCTTCATCGTCCTCGTTCTTGCTGGCGTTTATTTTGGCTCCTTCAGGGAACTCCTCAGACGCCGCCGCGCTCTGCTCCATGAGACCGGCGGACGGCGGGTTGTAATTGTACTGAGAGTCCATCGGTTCCTCTCCTCCGGCGGGGTTTTTGTCCGAGGGCAGGCTAGAGGGAGGTGTAGGAAACGGGGGAGGGTGGGGGGTAAAAAAGAGGGTGGGGATAAGAGAGGGGGAGGGGCGATCGAGACGACTGCTTTCTCGTTATTTTTTGTGTTTCGTTTTGTTTGTTGCTCCCTTCCCCCTCCCCCAGCTCCCACTCGTGCTGCTCCTGCCGCCAAAGACCGGGCGCCGCCGATGATAATGATGATACTGCTCCTCCTCAGCTACAAAATGGCGGCCGGCGCAGCGGGCAGGGGGAGGGGGGGAGGAAAATCCGGGCACCGGCCCCTGGTCGCCGGCACGTGACCGCTCGCCGTCCAATCGCGCGAGGCCTGGCGCCGCCGACTTGGCCCCTTGTCTCCGCTGGTCAGATTGTTTAGTACGGTGCCCCCTCCCCACCCCACTTCGGCCGCCGCCGCCGTCGTCGCTGACTGACTCACTGACTCCGGGTCGGTCACTATCCGGGACTCAGGCCGCCCTAACCAGGAGCACGGAGTGCGCAGACTCGGAACCAGGGCAAAGATTCCAAACAATGAAACATTCCATCAGTGGAACGTTCCCGCTGCCTGGGGGAGGGTGGGAGGTTGAAAGCGTGTAACCAGAGGAAGTGAGTGTCACAGGGATCAGTGCTGAAGGCACAATTATTTACACTGTACAGAATCACAGACTCAACACATTAATGACTTGAGTGAGGAGTGAGGAATGACGACCTACAATCGCCAAGTTTACGGGTGACAGGAACTAGTTCTGAAGGGAAGCGGTGGGGTTGACATAAAGAGGCTGGATAGGGAATAAAGACTTGGCAGATGGACTCTCGATGGAAGAGTAGAGGCGCTATTATTTAAATAGGACCTGGGTTTGAATCCCGCAATGGCAGATGGTGGAATTTTAATTCGATAAGTTTAAGAGTTTAATGATGACCATAAATTTGTTGTCAATTGTCCGAAAAACCTATCTGATTCACTAATATCCTTTAGGTAAGGAAACTGCCATCCTTACCTGGTTTGGCCTATATGTGACTCCAGACCCACAGTATTGTGGCTGACTCATAACTGCCCTTTGGGCAATTACAATATGCAATAAATGTTGGTCCAGCTAATGAGGGTCTCCCATAATGCCTATAAGAAAATATAAAAAGTGAAAGATAGCAGCTACACTCAGTGGTGTTTGGGGTTCTAAAGCTGACATACAAGATCAGCAGGTAATAGGGAAGACAGATGGAATGTTGGCTTTTATTTCAAAGAGAATGGAGTATAAAAATAGGGAGGGCTTCCTGAAACTATAGAAGGCTACTAGTCAAACCACATGTAGAATACTGTGAACAGTAAACCGGGCCGCTTATTGAAAGGAAAGATATACTGGCAGTGGGGGCAGTCCAGAGGATGTTCACTAGGCTGATCACTATTATGGACAGACTATGCTATGAGGAGAGGTTTCAGCCAGTACTCATTGGAGTTTAGAAGAGTGCGAGGCAACCTTGTTGAAACATGCAAGATTCTTAGAGGACTTGGCAGGTAGTTGCTGAGAGGTTGTTTCCCTTGTGGGAGAGTAGAACCAGATGGCATAATCTCAGGGTAAGGGACAAAGATGAGGATTTTTTTTCTCTCTGAAGAATTCTTTACTACAGAGGGCTATAGAGAATGGGTTGTTAAGTATGTTCAAGGCTGAGATGAACAGTTTATTAATCAGTAAAGGCATCAAGGGCTATGGGGAAAAGGCAGAAGATTGGAATTGA